AAAAATAAAAAAACATCCTTGAAGTGGTGCTTGCTGGAGCCCAGAGAAGAGCAAGGATTGAGGGAGACAGCTTGGAGGGGTTTAGAGCTGGGGCGTTTCTGAACTGAGATTTTGAAAGGGCCTCAACTAGTATCCACCCTCCAGCATTGTCCCATTGTCCTGCTTCTCTGCCAGTAATCACCTGATAACTGTTATGTTCCTTTTTCAAGTCTCCATTGATAAGGACTTGCTGCCTCCTGGTTGTTAGGGGGACAAGATTCAGTGTATTAGCATCTCTAAGTTTTTTTTTTTAATTTTCTTAATGTTTTTATTTATTTACTTATGTTTAAAACTTCCTTTTAAGCCCAAGTTCACTTCTCTAAAGCTTTACCCATTTTCTAATTCCATCCCTTAAAGTCACTCAAAACAGTCTGTTGACAGACTTCAGATGTTTAAAGACTTCAGTGAGTTTTATCTTCTTTAGAACCCAAAGGGAGCTGTTCCTCTATGATTTTGAACTGCCTTGCTTGCTCTGCTCTGTGCCTCCTCTGGCGGCCCCAAGGGACACCCTGGTTCAGGCAGGGACTGGCTGGACACAGTGGCGCCATCAGTACCTGTGCTGTGGGTCCTGTTCCAGTCAGGTCATGGCTGTGTGTGTGTCCAGCTATGGCTTGCAACCTGCTAGTGGACTATAAAATCAACTTACATGGTTGCAACCTGCAAGAAAGAAAGAGGGAGGGATTTGTGTGTCTAGTAAGGGAAAATATTCTCTTGCCAACTTATCATATACGTATATAAGCATATAACGGATCATGTTGTAAGATGTATTTCTTGCTGTGGATTGTAGTAAAGAAGTTGGAAAAAATCCTGAGTTATAAGACCTTTTGAAACTGCCAAATCATGGGGCACCTGGGTGGCTCAGCCAGTTAAGTGGCCAACCTCGGCTCAGATCATGATCTTGCAGTTCATGAGTTCAGGCCCTTTGTTGGGCTCTGTGCTGACAGCTCAAGAGCCTGGAGCCTGCTTCAGATTCTGTCTGTCTCTCTACCCCCTGCTTGTGCTCTGTCTCACTCTCTCTCTCAAAAATAAGCACTAAAAAAAAAAAAAAATTGAAGTTGCCAAGTCATTATATTGCGCGTATCATCAGCGAGTCTTTCACCTCTCCTGATTCCAAAGACAGTGTTATGTGCACTACTGCCGTCTTTGATTTTCACATACATGATTTGGGGCCTAAGGATAAGAAAGACCCTGTTTACCCTGTTAGATTTTTTTTTTCTTTCCAGCCTGTTGACCTTTTGACACCAGGTCCTGTCAGTCAACATGGCTCTATCCCTCTTATTTTCAACATCAGCCTATTTAATAAGCATTCCTTCTCTATCATTCTTGATAAATATGTTGAACAGGACAGTTCTGAGGACAGAGCCCTGCGGCAGACCACTAATGACCTTCCCCCTCCAACTGATAGACCACTTGAGTTTGAGCATGGTCATCCCGCCTGTGGTGAGCCAGCCTGTGTGGCCCTGTAATTAATTCTCTGGCCTGCAAAGGGATCATGGCAGACCCTAGGAAACTTCAGCATCTATTGCCCAAGTTGCAAGTGCAGATGCCCAGAGGGGCTTGGCAAGTAACACAAACGAATGAAGCGATCATTAATTCAGGCAATTAATAAGTAACCTGTGACCCCTGGCCTTGGTTTCAAGAAAGCAGATGGTGAGTGTGGGGGTGGCCTGGAGCCTATTGCTCATCTGCCGGGTGGAAGTGTGGACCTTCAAGATAATCTGGGTTTCATGTAAAATTGGACTTTTTTTTTAAGTGTTAGCAAGACAAACAAACAAAAAAACTGTATAGGCCAAACAAAACAGATCTGCAGCTGATTTGGCCTACAGCCCTTAAACTGCCTTGCTTGCTTGAGTTTGTGATCTGCGAGGCAGGGTCTCCCCATCCCCTGGCCCAATGACCATATGACACAAAAACAAATTCATTGAATGTTGATGGGTTGATGGCCTTTGTTGAACCTGGCTCTTTGTGGTTCGTTCCCTCAGTTGCCCATTCAGGAATCTTACTGGGGCAGCTCTCGCTCAGTGGACTAAAGTTAGAATGATCCCTGCCCTTTGCCTGCCTGAAGGCACCTTCTCCTGGTGGTGCATTTCTTCCGGGATCAGCAGGTGTTGAGGAATGGATTAGTGGGATCCGCTGGTGGAGAAACTGGAGTTTAGAGTTTCTCAAAATCTTCCCACCCATCCTGGCTTTACTTTCCCTCCTTTTTGTGTCCACTCTGCCCTTTCTTTTTTTGGTCTGAAGAGCATTTTCTTTCCCAGGAAATTGAGAGGCACAAGTGCCAGCCTAGCCCTTCCTTGTTCTTATTCACAAACCAAAAATAACTTTTTAAATCCTTTTAGTTGTCTTGACCATTTTGGGGAAGCCTCAGCTCACACAGCATTAGTCTTCCTGACACTGTTTTTGTAAATTCATGCTACTCCCTCATGTTTCTTCTGGGTTATGCATGCTCCTTCTGTCTTTTACACAGAAGCATGCAAAAATTGGCTGCTTCAGACTTTGTAGCCTTTGCTGTCATGTTAGTTTAGGTTTCTGAGAAGGAGGGAAGGGACCACTGGGTGATCAACTACATTCCTAGGGGAAAGGTTTCTTTCCTAGTTCCACATTTAGAGAGATGGTCAGGAAAAGGCAGCATAGTCCATGGCCAGTGGGGGGATGGGAAGCCTTTCCCAGGGCTGTAAGGGTGTTACTACAGCAGTTGTGGGCAGGAGGTGCAGAAGTGGTTATGATTTGGACTTTGTCTTGAAGGAGCTACCATATGGTGGAGGAGGCAGCTGCTTGAATAATGGTAGAAGTGTATTAAAAGCGCAAATAGAGGCATCTACAAGGTGCCGTGAGAGCCCAGGGGAAGGAGCTATATAGGTATGTCTGCCAACCAGGTCGGGGAGGAGGTGACATTGAGCTGGTGCTTGAAGGATAAGTCAGAGTGGCCCCACAGAGGCTGGGCAGGGCATTCCTGGCAATGAGAACTGCACGTGCAAATCTCAGAAAAGTCTGTTGGAAAAGCATGAGAGTCCTTGGTGACCAGAGTTGGGGCAATGACAAGGATGGGGTGAGCCTGTGCTCACCTCCCACGGGGGTGATCCCAAATCCCACCTTCTCATCACTGCTTTGGAGCCCAGGATGGCCACTTCTGACAGTCTGAGGACTAGTATCTTTTTAACACTCTGTTTAATACACTTTATTTTACTGTTTATAGAAAGGTTGCAAGAAAAGTACCTGGGACTCCCACATACTAAAACTGTTCACATTTCACTTTGTCATTTTCTGTATGTGTGTATATTTTTTAAATGCATATAATACTTTTCTGAACCACTTGAGATGGTTAGAGATACTCTGTTCCTTTACCCTGAATACTTCAGCGTGTGTATGTGCACGCGTGCGCACATCCTAAGGACAAAGACATTCTTTTACATAATCAGAGTAAAATAATCCAAGTCAAGAAGACTGACACAGTGTGATCTTATCCACGTCTGTATTCAAACTGCATCAAATGTCCCAATGGTGTACCTTCAAGCTGTTTTCCCCAGTCCAAGATCTAACCCACGAGCATGCATTTCATGGTCTTGTGTCTTCAGTAAGCTAAAGACGTTTGCAGAGATGTTTGTCTTTCTTGCCTTTGAAATTTTTGAAGAAGATAATCCAGGTGCTATCTTGCATGCCCTCCAGTTTGGATTTATCTGATGTTTCCTCATAATTAGATTCAGGTTGTACATTTTGGCTGGAATTCTGTGTGAGTGATGTTATAACCTTCTCAGTGTATCATATCAAGAATCTCATGACGTTGGTTGCAATATTGGTAATGATAACTTCAATCGTTTGCTTAAGGTGGTGTCTGCCAGATTTCTCTTTACTATTATAACTCAGTGATTTTTGAGGAGATACTTTGAGACCATGTATATAACCTGTGCCCCATCAGGCTTTCACCTGCTAATTGTAGCATCCACTGAGAACTTTCCAAATCCATCATTCCTCCTATTTTTTTTTGTTGGCATTCTGTTGTAAGGAAGAGCTTTCCTTACTGGAGGGATGAATTCTGCACAGTGAATTTGCATCTTTGTATTAGTTTTAAGTTGCTGGGCAGGGCCACCTGGCTCCTTCCTTTTTATGCCCTCCCCCTCCTTGTACTTAGCTGGATATCAAGTACAGTGGTGGTTCTTGGGCTTGGGAAGAGGCCTGGATCTTCATCCAAATAGCAACTTGCTTGTTACTGGCATGACCATCTCAGCAGGGGGGCTAAGCGCGCACAGTGTCCAATCATCAGTGTTTCCCTCTGGCCTGGCTGGGGCTGGGAGTGGGAATGTCATCTTGTCGCCAGCTCTCGGAGCTCAGCCAGGACTTAAGTGAGGACAGTAACCAGCAGAGGAAAAAAAAAAAAAAAAACTGTGGGTTCCTTCCCACTGAAAAGCTCTGGCTGACCCCTTGTCCAGACTGCATTTGTTTATCAGAGCTGTTTGCTCCCTCTCTGTACACACATGCACACACGCTGCACACTTATGGCATATTGCTAGTTGATGTGCTTGGTCAACTTTCTCTTGACAGAGACCAAAATCCACATGGTCCTGGTATCACTTTGGTTATTGAGAGTTAAAGATCTTCTTCGGGACTCCTTAAGAAACACTTGGTTTCTGGGGAGCCTTGTCAGTATGATTGATCTTAGGCTGTAAAAGGACCTGAGCAACATTTAGAATTCTGGATTAGGACCTTTTAAAGACCTACCTTTCATTTTTGTTGGCGCAGCTAGCTGGGAAAGGAGACCTGAAGATGAAGAAGAGTTCAGGTTCAAGCTGTATCAGAGACAGAATGTGCAAGAAAGGCAGGGTTTGGGTGTGCGTCTGAATGCTGTGAAGCAGGACAGTGCTTTTCTAATAGTGTGGCTCATCTTTTTCCTTTTCTCTCTCTCTCTCTCTCTCTCTCTCTTTCTCTCTCTCTCTCTCTCTCTCTCTCTCTCTTTCTTCAGACAGGCTCAGAGCTCAGCCCAGTTGATGGACCTGTTCCAGGTCAGATGGACTCAGGGCCAGTGTACCATGGGGACTCACGGCAGCTAAGCGCCTCAGGGGCGCCAGTCAATGGTGCTAGAGAACCTGCCGGCCCCAGTCTGCTGGGGACTGGGGGTCCTTGGCGAGTAGACCAGAAGCCCGACTGGGACCCTGCCCCGGGCTCAGCTCACACTGCTCGCCTGGAAGATGCCCACGATCTGGTGGCCTTTTCGGCTGTGGCCGAAGCTGTGTCCTCTTACGGGGCCCTCAGCACCCGGCTCTATGAAACCTTCAACCGTGAGATGAGTCGCGAGGCTGGGAACAACAACAGGGGACCCCGGTCAGGGCCCGAGGGCTGCTCCGCTGGCAGCGAAGATCTGGACACGCTACAGACAGCCCTGGCCCTCGCTCGGCATGGCATGAAGCCACCCAACTGCAACTGCGATGGCCCGGAATGCCCTGACTACCTCGAGTGGCTGGAGGGGAAAATCAAGTCTGTGGTCGTGGAGGGAGGGGAAGAGCGGCCCAGGCTCCCAGGGACTCTACCTTCTGGTGAGGCTGGCCTCCCAGCACCCAGCACCAGGCCACTCCTCAGCTCTGAGGTCCCCCAGATACCTCCCCCAGAGGGCCTGCCCCTGTCCCAGAGCGCCCTGAGCATCGCCAAGGAAAAGAACATCAGCCTGCAGACGGCCATCGCCATTGAGGCCCTCACACAGCTCTCCTCTGCCCTCCCTCAGCCTTCCCACTCCACCTCCCAGGCTTCTTGCCCCCTCCCTGAGGCCTTGTCCCCTCCTGCCCCTTTCCGGTCTCCCCAGTCCTACCTCCGGGCCCCCTCGTGGCCTGTGGTCCCCGCTGAAGAGCACGCATCCTTTGCTCCTGATAGCCCTGCCTTCCCTCCGACAACTCCTAGAACAGAGTTTCCTGAAGCCTGGGGCACTGACACCCCACCAGCAACTCCCCGGAGCTCTTGGCCCATGCCCCGCCCAAGCCCTGACCCCATGGCTGAACTGGAGCAGTTGTTGGGCAGTGCCAGTGATTACATCCAGTCAGTATTCAAGCGGCCTGAGGCCCTGCCCACCAAGCCCAAGGTCAAGGTGGAGGTGCCCTCTTCCTCCCCAGCCCCGTCCCCATCCCCCGTGCTCCAGAGGGAGGCTCCCACAGCACCTGCAGAGCCTGACACCCACCAGAAGGCCCAGACCGCCCTGCAGCAGCACCTTCACCATAAGCGCACTCTTTTCCTGGACCAGGCCCACGATGCCTCCTTCCCCCCTCCCTCAGAGCCTCCTGCTCCGGGCTGGTGGGCCCCACCAAGCTCACCTGCCCCACGGCCTCCAGATAGACCACCCAAGGAGAAGAAGAAGAAGCCCCTGGCACCAGCTGGAGGTCCCGTGGGAACTGAGAAAGCCACCCCTGGGATCAAGCCCAGTGTTCGGAAGCCCATTCAGATCAAGAAGTCCAGGCCACGGGAAGCACAGCCTCTCTTCCCGCCTCTGCGGCAAATCGTCCTGGAAGGGCTGAGGTCCCCAGCCTCTGAGGATGCGCAGGCACATCCACCTGCCCCTATCCCCGCTTCACAGGGCTCTGCTGTCCCCCTGCCCCCAGAACCTTCTCTTGCGCTATTTGCACCTAGTCCCTCCGGGGACAGCCTGCTGCCCCCTACTCAGGAAATGAGACCCCCTAGCCCGATGGTGACCCTGCAGCCAGGCTCCGCCGGCCCTCTTCCCCCTGCCGATGACAAGCTGGAAGAGCTCATCCGGCAGTTTGAAGCTGAATTTGGGGATAGCTTTGGGCTTCCTGGCCCCCCGTCTGTGCCCATTCAGGACCCCGAGAACCAGCCAACATGTCTCCCAGCCCCCGAGAGTCCTTTTTCTACCCGTTCCCCCAAGCAAATCAAGATAGAATCTTCGGGGGCTGTGACTGTGCTCTCAACCACCTGCTTCCATTCAGAGGAGGGAGGCCAGGAGGCCACACCCACCAAGGCCGAGAACCCACTTACACCCACCCTCAGTGGCTTCCTGGAGTCGCCTCTTAAGTACCTGGACACACCCACCAAGAGTCTGCTGGACACACCTGCAAAGAGAGCCCAGGCTGAGTTCCCCACGTGCGATTGTGTTGGTAAGTCCACCTGGGTATCAGGGAAAGAAGCCTGGTGGGCCTGGGTTTCTGGACTCGTTCTGTTGTCTGGCAAACATTGTGTGCCAGTCATCCTGCTGGAGGCTCATAAGCTAGAAAAGAGCTCATAAGCTAGCCGGAAAGACACTGAAAGAAACAGATAATGATGGGGCATGTCAATGGAGGTGGGCATGGGTGCTTTGTCGCACAGATGGAGGCAAAGGCATCACAGAGGCCTTCCTATGGGAGGTGGCGGTGCTTGTGTGTTGAGGCCTGAGCTTGGTGGCTATGAGGGGGTGGGGCTTTATTTGGACTGCTCTTGGTGTAGGGGGAGCAGAAGGAGAGGAGTACATGTGGGTATGAACAAAGGTGGCCTGAGATGCAGCCACGGGCCAGATCTTATACAACATAATGACCTGAGGTCAGGAGTCTGACTTGATCTCAGAGGTAATACCTTCTGAGGGTTTTAGAGCAAGTAGTGACTTGTCACCTTGTGCTTCTGAAAGACTCTTCTGGCTTGTGGTGAGGAGGAAAGCCTGCCTGGTGGGGAACCTATAAGAAAGGTGTCATGAGCCAAATAAGAAATAACAATGGCCAGATTGAGAGAGTGGGTGGGTGAAGGGCCTCTCAGGAGGAGGGCATGTGGGGAAAGGATGGCCTAGGTCTCTACCTTGGTGATGCTGGTCCCCAGAAAACCTATTTGGAGGAGGGGTGATGAGTTTGGCCAGGCAGAAAGCCTAGAGCTGAGCTGTGGGTTTGGACGTAGTTTGCATCAGGTAGTAGCCGAGGCTGTATGGGTAAGAGCACTGAGGAATTGGTCCATTTCTGAGCCTTGCCTTCCAGTAAAACCACAGCCAAGGCTGTGAGGACCGCTCCTGGGGACTTCTGTCCTGGAAGTCAGTGATGCATCAAGAAGCCCCAGGTCCATGCTAGGCTGTGGCTCTTTGCTGTTTATGAAGTGTTCTATGAAAGATGTGTTTCAGATATTGCTCAAAAAGCACATTAATGGTGGTGAGGAGCATGTTGAAATTCTTGTGATCTCATGATACACAAAACAAGTATTACAAAAAGTCTGTGTTCTCTACTTATTAAAATCAATTAGTATTAGGTCAACTGTGTCTTTAGTTGGGATGTGATTAGCTGGGGTCACACAATTATGTGATTAGTTGTCAGTAAGGAGGAGCTGGGCTGTTCTGCCCACTCTAGCTACGCCAGACTCCTGTACTCCAGACAAGGAGCTTGGGGAACAAGGAAAAGTTGGCCGCCGTGTTTCTATCTGGGAGTGAACAGAAGTAGAGGGTCCTGCCAAACGCTCACAGGCATGTTTTGGGATCATGGTTCCCATCAAGGACTAACCCTGTTCGTTCTTGGATCTTAGTAATGAGATGCCTTTGGGGGCCTCCTTATTTCTCAGCATTTTAGTGAGGCTTATTCTGATCATAGGAATTGGGCCCTTCCCTTTGTCCTTTTCTTTCTTTGCCTTGGTGTGTGTCTGTCCCATCTGCCTGATACTTAGTACATTGTTAGGTATTTCTTCCCCTTCAGAGTAAGACATAACCTTACATAATGTTTAGGCCATAGTTGGTCCTTATTAAATATTAAATATATTAAATATTTTAAGGGGCTCCTGGGTGGCTCTGTTAAGGGGCTGTCTTCAGCCTAGGTCATGATCTTGCCATTCTGAGTTCGAGCCCCATGTCTGGTGCTGACAGCTCAGAGCCTGGAACTTGTTTTGGATTCTGTGTCTCCCTCTAGCTCTCTGCCCCTCCTCCTCTCTGTGTCTCTCTCTCTCTTTCATCTCTCTCTTTCTCTCTCTTTCAAAAATAAACATTAAATATATATATATGTATATTTTAATTGTTGGGGCACCTGGTTGGGTTATTTGGTTAAGCATATGACTATGACTCACATCATAATCTCATGGTTGGTGAGTTCAAGCCCCACATCAGGCTCTATGCTGACAGCTCAGAGCATGGAGCCTGCTTCAGATTCTGTGTCCCCACCCCCTGCCCCTTCCCAGCTTCTTCATGCTCGCACTCTCTCTCTCTTCTTCTCTCTCAAAAATAAATGAAAAAAACATTACAAAAATAATAAATGTTTTAATTGTTGAATTCAATTATATGGATATGATGTTTGATCAGTTTTTTTGTGTTTTTTTGAGAGAGAGAGGGCACAAGTGAGCTAAGGGCAGAGAGAGAGACTCCCATGAAGGGTAGAGGAGAGAGAGAGAGAGAGAGAGAGAGAGAGAGGCGGGTCTCAAACTCACCTGATGCGGGACTCGAACTCACCAACCATGAGATCATGACCTGAGCTGAAGTCAGATGGTTAACTGACTGAACCACCCAGGCACCCCTGATCAAAATAGATTTTTAAATTTGAACTCTAATTCCGTCACTTCCTCATGCATAAAATGAAAAGATAATAGCATCCCCTCACCAGGGCAGTTGGAAGGTTTAAATTAGTTAAAATGTAGAAATCACTTAGAACTGTGTCTGGCACATAGTAAACACTAGAAGAGTGTTAGCTGTCACCAATCCTGTTGAGTGCAGTAAGGCAAGAGAAAGAAGTCAAAGCATACATATTACGAAGGAAGAAAAGTATTGGCTGTTACTTTATTCATCAGTCATGTATTGATTACCAGTTCTGTACTAACTACCGTTAAGAAGAAAAATTAGGAGGCATGGCTCCTCTCTGAAGGATTCTGTGGTCTGCTTGAAGAAACAACAGAAACAATAAGATATTCAGTCACCCATTCAACAGCTGTTGGCCAAGTGCCTGTGTAGTCATATGGATGTGGCTAAACTGTAAAAGCCAAGAGCCCTCTGAAACCCCAGGCTTGGTTGTCATTATGGAGGGTTCTGTTTTCTTTTGGAAACTTGTTCCAAGCCGGGTTTTGAAACCTGTAGTAATCACCGATGGGGAGAGGGGAGACGGTGGCCACTGAAGCCCCCTGTTGGGGGCAGCAGAGCAGGCTGACAGGCTGTAAGGCCGGCAGTGCAGGGATGGACCTGAACCCTCAGGGTTCCACGTTCCACCAGAGAGGATAAGTCTCAGCTTGAAGCTGGTGAGCAGAGGAGCAGGCAGGAGAGCGTCAGCATCACGGAAACCCCAGGCAGCTGCTGGACTCTCCGCCTGGAAGGTGGGGCTGTGGGCAAGAGATAAGGGGAGTGGAGAGTCCTACCACCAGTCATTTATTGTTCCCCATTTGTGTTTTATCTGTGTCTTCTCCTAAACAGAGAATTAGAACCAAACTTACCTCATGGTGGTGGTAAATGTTAAATTCTGGGGAAGTGCTTAGTCGGAAACAACCCACAGACCTAAGCAGTACATAAATGATCATCTCATCTACATAAGAAAAGGGGGGGGAGGGGGCGGCAGCTGGGTGGCTTAGTCGTTTGAGCGTTTGACTTCAGCTCAGGTCATGATCTCATGGTTCATGGGTTTGGGCCCCGCATTGGGCTCTGTGCTAACAGCTCAGAGCCTGCAGCCTGCTTCAGATTTTGTGTCTCCCACTCTCTGCCTCTCCCCTACTCACACTCTGTCTCTCTCAAAAATGAATAAAAACATTTGGGGGAAAAAAAGGAAAAATAAAAAGAATAGAAGGAAATACATCAATAGTGGTTGTCTCTGTGGTCAGACAGTGGGTGACTTTTCCTTTCTATGTTTCCTGAACCTTCTATAATGAAATGTGTATTTTATGATCAAGAAGTGTTTTGAAAGTGTATCCTAGAAGTATCTTGGAAGATATATTAGTGAAGGATAATAACTTTGTGGCAGAAAACTGGTTAGGAAGCTACTGATAATAATAATAATAATAATAATAATAATGGGAATAGTAATAATATTTATGAAACACTTGCTCTAGTCCAGGGACCATGCCAAGTACTTTACAGGTAGTCATTTTATCCTTATAACACCTATATGAGGGGGATGCTATCAGTAGTTCCATCTTAACGATGAAGGAAACAAACTCTGATTCAGTAATTTACCCAGGTCCACATCTAACACATGGTAAAAGTGAGATTTGAACCTAGGCAGTTAGACTCTTATATTGTTTGAGAAAAGAGTCCTAAGTAAAATCGTGGTATTAGGTGTGAAGAGGGGCAAATAAGAAGGGATTCACTTGGAAACAGTTTCTTGAGGTGCTGGGGTTCGTGTTCGGGAAAGCCATCTTGTTTTCCAGAACCATCTGGAGACCTTACTTCTGGACAGTTGCTTCCATCAGCTAATATGGCAGAATTGTCTCTGTGAACTCGAGCTCAGGACAAGGGATAGAAATAAAGGCTGCTCACTCTGGGGTTAATATCAGATGGGAACCGTCTCATATTCCAGAAACTCATCCCCTCCACAGTGGTAGGTAGAGAGGTGCAGATGGCAGGCCAGAATAAGGAAGAATTTTCCATGGGAAGTGACACTGAAATTTGGAGATGCCATCATGCCCTAACAACAAACAACTTTATAAAAGCACAAAAAGATTTTTTTTACAAATAGTTTATTGTCAAATTAGTTTCCATATAACACCCAGTGCTCATGTCCATCTCCCTCCTCCCCCCTCACACCTATCTGTCCTCAGTATGTTCTCAGCATTCAAGATTCTCTCATGGTTTGTCTCTCTCCCTCTCCCCCACCATTTCCCCCTCTCTTCTCCCCCATGGTCCTCCGTTAAGTTCCTCCTAATCCTCCTATACGTGCAAACATATGATATTTGTCCTTCTCTGCCTGACTTATTTCACTCAGCATAACACCCTCAAGGTCCATCCATGTTGCTACACATGGCCAGATTTCATTGTTTCTCATTGCCATGTAGTATTCCCTGGTATAGCTAAACCACATCTTCCTGATCCATTCGTCCATGGATGGACACTTAGGCTCTTTCCATGTTTTGGCTATTGTGGAGAGTGCTGCTATGAACATTGGGGTACATGTGCTCCTATGCATCAGCATTCCTATATCCCTTGGGTAAATTCCTAGCAGTGCTATTGCTGGGTCCTAGGGGAGTTCTA